TCATGATCTGAGAATAGCGGACTTAGGCGTTAGACAAAACCTTTTTACAATGGTTCCTAGCAGTAATAAACAGACGTCTGTTTTCTGGAGAATTGTTTTGCTGATAGATATGGTTTCGATTGGCAATTGCAGCAGCACAATGTGAGGAAAACCATGGAAAAGAGTGAAACTTGACCTGGAATCGTCGAAAGGGAATAAAGAATTCCATGCCAGCCTGAATCCAGGAAGTTATGTAAGAAGCACATTTGTCAACAGGAAGACAAAAGATTTCTACCCAAAGGCCATCACGAAGAAAATCACGCAAAGAGTCCCAGTCAGCTTTAAGGTAGTTGTAAAATTTTCGTTGATAGGGGGATTCTGATGATAAAGAAGAATGAGATAATAGTTTTAGAGAGACCAAACCATGATCGGAAGCACCAACAGGTGAATGTGGAGAAACTAAACACTGACTAGGATCAGAAACAATACTTAAGTCGAGTAGAGAAGGTAAATGATTCGGGTTGTCTGGAAAGCAAGTTGGAAAAATGTCTATTTGAGTTAGGGATTGAGAAAGGCAAAAGTTGTGGGCTTTAATGCCTGCAGAGTCACTGACTCTAGAACCAAGCCATTCAGTGTGATTAACATTAAAGTCACTGACAACAACAATATTGGCTGATGGATAAAGAGAGAGGGCTTGGTCAATATGATCAGAAATAACATCAAGAAGTCTTGAGATGCAATATAGAGCAAAAAGAAAGGTGATAGAGTGAAGTGGTGCTTAACGAAACACATAAAAGAGTAGTCTGTGGATTCAAACCTAGTTTCAGGACAAATGGGTGAATTCTTACGAATGTAAATGCCTAGGCCAAGCATGTGACTATTGAAGTCTTTATAAATTAAAGGAAGATAACCATCAACACTAAGATCACAAGATGAGACATTTAAGCCGAACTTAAATTGGTCTCACAAGAGCAAGTAGGTCTGGTGAACTTTGCAAGAGATAAGACTCAACAGAAGTAAAGTTACTTCGAAGACCACAAATATTAGTGAATGATAGGTTTAGCAAACTTGGTGATGACTGTGATTTTTTGTGTTTTATAGTTTTTGTTACTTTATTCATTTTTAAATTTGTTAAAGAACTTGACTTGAAACATAGATAGCACTCAGTACACTGTTTAATAGCCCAAGCAATTGCCTCATTACTATTAATAAACTTTAAGTCGTAACAAAGGGCTCCAATGTGGCCTTGGCAATGCACACCAAAAGTACAAACAGGGACACCATCCATGACACTGTTAGTACTTTGAAATTTTTCAACTGTTAATGGAATCAGCTTATCTGAGAGCTACCACAGAGTTTGGAAAACCTGACTACCAGCCGGCCTCAGAACCATAAAACTGAGTTTTAGAGCTGTACCCTCATTAGGAGATAATAGAATGAGTTGCCTAGTCATAAAAACAGAGACACAAGCAAAACCCATACATCAAGTCAAGAAGATCCAGCATTCAACATGCTAAACTAGAAACAATGTATTAAAAATAGATCTGCGCCAGCCTAATAGATAAGGGGTGCGAGGCTGGACAACAGATAGAATTTGTTTACCCCTTAAGTCTTTGCCTAGGAGGCCTTCTACAAGACAGCAGCCAAATGCATTTAACATCTGCCCAAGATGAGTATTTTTATCAAAACATTATCTCAAGCCTTTAGTCAACCTAGAGCCCCTAGGCAGGGGCTGTTTTATGTCGGAGTTGGCATCTCCTAGCATTTGCCTAAAAAGGTGTATCCTACAGGACATGAAGCAGATTGTACTGGGTTACATGTTACCAGTAGCAGGATTTAATTTACAAAGCACAAGAAAAATGAATCAACTAAAAAATCGCAATAAAAAATGTTATATTTCATTCCATTATTTTAATAAGACAATATATTAATACTCAAATAGATCTTGCAAAATTGCTATGTTCATTGCAAAATTTTTAAAGCATACGTCAAGATGCTTAAATAAAGAAATGTGATGGTTGCGAAGGTCGTTTTTCTGCTATATTTTGCGCTGCTTGCAAATTATTGGTTTAATATCTGGAATAAACTTAACAAAAATCCAATTATACAACTAATAAAACGGGAGAATAAAAGAATAAAATCTGAATAAAAATCTAGAAACAAAACCAAAACCAAAACATAATAGCAAAAACTCACTAAGTAGAGCGCATACTAATAACTCTAAGCAAAAGATAAAAATTTGTCACTTTCCTAATTGTTAATAAAGCGATTGTAGAAATTTTAATATATGATGACATTTTCATTCACAATATAGAAGTTCAATGAACTTTTAGAATATTGAATGAATGAATGAACTTTTAGAATAAAATAATTAAGATCATTAGTTTTTATAAAACAATTATTTGACGTATAACAAAATTTTTCATATTGTTTTATTAGAACGATTGATTATATTTTAACATTTGAATATTGTCTTTTATTTATTATTTAATTAATTACTATGTAATTATATAAAAATTAAATATAAAAAATTATTTAAAAAAGTTATTTAAAATTATATATATATATATATATATATATATATATATATATATATATATATATATATATATATATATATATATATATATATATATATATATATATATATATATATATATATATATATATATACATATCTTATATCATAGTCAAAAGAGAGTTTTTTATAAATATTATATATATAAATATATATAGTTTTGCATGGTAGTCACAAAGTTTTTTCCATAAACTGTTGTTTTAAAGAGCGCGTTAATAAACCTGATCAGAAAATGTTAAAAAAACTTTAAAAAGTAGATGTAGCAGCACTCCCTTGCGACTCAAGATGTAGCAGCACTCCCTTGCGAGTCAGGCTATTTGTCAGTCGATGTAGCAGCACTCCATTGCGAGTCAGGCTATAAGATAGTTGATGTAACAACACTCCCTTGTAGCAGCATGCTATAAGATAGTCGATGTAGCAACACTTACGCATGTTTTAAAAATGTTTTTTAATAAAACAAAAACACTACTAACTAAAAAAAACTTTCTAGTCATTATTATTGCTGTTTTTTTATTAAACAATAAAATTTAATGTACTTCCACATTTATTTAATTGCTTTGACATTTCGACAACAATAAAATGCAGCTTAAGAGACGAGGTAAAAAAATTGTAGTCGAAAGAGACTTTTTTTTACCATAAAAGTCTCTTTCAACTACACTATAAGGATATATATATATCAGGCCTTGCGATAAAGCGTCGGGCGATGTGAATTTTGCGTGTAGCTAGGGCTAGTTGCGTCGAGCAAAAAATTTATTGTTTGAGTATATTTAAAGATATTTTTGAGCGGAATTTTAATGAAGTAATTAACGATTATTTTAACACTTAATAAAGTATTTTAAAAACCGCACACAGTTGATATAAAAGTTTAAATTAAAAAAAATTAAATATGCTCATTATTTACAAGTAGAAAAAATTCAGATTAAAAAATAAGTTTAAATCTTTTAAGCTAACATTTTAATAAAATTATTCAGCAATAGCAAAGTTGTCGATAAAATTAAACAAAAATACTTTCTTTTAGTTTTAAATGTTAAACTTAAATAATTATTTTACGGGGGTTTGTTAGGTTTTAAAATTATTTCATAGATTTAAAAATATTTATTAACTGTTAGACGTATTTAAAGTATTTAAGAGTAATTTTAAGGAAACATTTTAAAAATTGGTGAGCGCAAATAAAAAAAAAAAGGATTAATATTAAAACGTATTCTACTTGATTCAATAAAAAAAAACAGTTATTAAAATTTTTGTAAAAAGTAACTCAAAAAAATTACTTAAATAATAACGATCGCTTTTATGTTAAAAGTTACCGAAACTCAACGAAGCGTGCTCAAGAACAGCTGCTGAAAAATAAAATGTCAATAGTTTTTCGAATAATTTTTAATAAAAACTTTTAAGAATAATTTTTTCGCTGAAATACTTCTTTTATACCTATAATATTTTTATTCTAACATTTTATTTTATTTTACTAGAAATAAAATTCCTTGTTAACATTAAAAATCTATTCTAAACGTTCGTTTAAGTTTTTTATTAATACGAGTGATTATGCTTATCAACCGCTTTATGAAAACAAATAAAAATAAATAAATATTATATAAAATCGCTTGTAAAAATATTAGCTATTGCACAGTTTTTAATCTTACAATATTAAAATTTCCAGTTTATTACTTGCTGACTTTTTAAAAAGAAAAAATAATTATTTGAAAAACTTTAAATTACATATTTAAGAAAAAAAAAATCAAATATTAGCATATTTTATAATTTTATATATATATATATATATATATTATATATATATGTTATATATATATATGTGTATATATATGCACATATATAAATATATATATATATATATATATATATATATATATATATATATATATATATATATATATATATATATATATGTATGTATGTATGTATGTATGTATGTATGTATGTATGTATGTATATATATATATATATATATATATATATATATATATATATATATATATATATATATATATATATATAAATTTAAAGTTTCTACTCAGCACAAAATGAGTAAATATTCTAATAAATAAGACAACTTTTTTAATTTTTGTTAAAACCATTTAATTTATAAATAAAAATACTTTGACAATATTATAGCCATCCTCAGTTAGAATGCTTAAATAAAATTAACAAAACTAAGTTGAACTAATAAAAACTTTTTAATTAAAAATGCAATAAAAATAAAATAAAAAAAGCAATTAAAAAAATTAACAAAACTAAGTTGAACTTATAGGGTGAGAGTATAGGTTTCTAAAGGCTAGGGTTTATTAGGGTTCAAGTTAGGGCTTGTCAGGTAAAGATCCTGTCAGGAATAGAGTAAATCGTTACTTTTATTTTATAACTATTTAATAAACTTAATTTATAATAATAAATATAATTAACACTTTTTAATAAATGAGATTAAAAAAAGTACCTTAACTGTTCTGCCATCGCTTAATGAAATATCTTTAGTAGTTTGATCTAACCCTATCGTTGAATTTATTTTTTCTGCAAATCTATTTTCTTTGAAGCGTAGAAAAAAAGATGATTTTCCAACATTAGTGTCTCCTAACAAAATGACTTTCATGTCATCAATCACGGTTAAAAGATAAAATTTATTCTAGAATAATATTTGTTTAAAAAAGGTTGGTCGATACTTTTTTCCAGTGGGCAAATTCAGGTTTCGCGTAATTTGTAAAATCAATTTAAATCTATTTAAACGGTAATGGGAGGTAAGAGCGAAAAGTTTAAAAGCGAAAGAACGTAAGAGCAAAAAGTTTTAAAGCGAAAGAACGTTAAAGCGAAAAGTTTGAAAGCGAAAACCGGGAAATAGAGAATCGCGATAAGTTCAACAGCAACAACAACTGGAATTTATTGATTTTGTTATAGATTATTTAGCGTTTGGATTTTATTTTTTTTAAACTGTTAATATTTTTATAATTATAAGTTAGTTATAGTTTAGAATTATTTATTTGATATTCTAGCTGAGAGTTATAGTTACAGTTAGAGTTTATTAGATTAAATAAATAAAAAAAAACTTATTGTATATAGTTTAGAGTTTATGTTTTTAGTTTTAGTATAGAATTAAATACATATAGTTTAGAATTATTTATTCATTTGGTATTCTAGCTGAGACTTGAGTTACATTGCGACAAAAAGGTATAAAATCTTGCATAAAAATTATAATTGCACTACAAGTTAATAAGTTATAGATAAAAAAAAAAAGATTTGCATAATTTCTTATTGATATTATTTAATTTTAATTTGTTTTTTGAAATTTATGCATTAGATTTCAAGCAAAAAATTGTTTTAATGTTTAAATAAAAATTATTCATAAAATTAGAAAGATACGAATTTATAATGTTCTTTTGTTTTGATTAGGTATGGCGAGTTAGGCTGTCTACCCTTGATACTTTTAGAAATGATGAGATAGTTAAACCTCAAGAATTGATGTTTAAATTTTGAGTCATAAACTAAAAGCCAGGGCAAATATATCAACACAACATATTTGAAAACGAGACATATAAAGGTTAGTTTTTAATATAAATTATTATCTAGTAGATAATAATATCTACAAATATTACTATTTATGTAAATTAAGGCTAGCTTTTATCAATAAACAACTCTTGAAATATAAATGCTTAATTGGTGGTGTGCAAAGACCTTTTGCTTAAAACAATTGTGCTAAATTTCAGTCTTTGAATATATTGTCAACTTATGATACAATATTAAATTTAAAAGTATACATCAATTCAAACATCTCTATAAATATTTATGTCTTATCTTTATAAATCTTACATCCATCCTGCATGGAACACTTTTGCCATATCTTAATCAGATCTTCCAGTAATGGCCTTTCTCTCTTAGACAAGGTACAAAAAGGAATTGTTTTTGCACCTTGACCTTTGCAGCCAACCTCCAACCATTAGAATATTATCATAATGTTGCTTCTCTTTTTATTTTTTATAAATACAATTATGGACACTGCTCTAAAGAGCTAGCGTCTCTTGTATCATCTACTAAACTTCCTATTGTGTTACTCATCATTCAATAAAGGCTAATCCTTTAATATGACTGTTCCTAAGTGCCCAAATAGTTCTAATCTGTTTTTTCGTGAAACTTTTTTTTCACTTGCTTCAGCTTGTTTGTTTTTTTTTTCATATAATTCGCAATCTATTAATTTTTTCTGTTAAATTTTATCTTTTCTCTAATAGTAGGTGCTTGCTGTCTTGTTGGAAATGAAAATGTTAAAAAAAAAAACATTTCCAATAAAAGCCCTCCAATATATTGTAATAGCTGGGATGTTATGCATTTTACACTTTTTTTTTGTGTAACAAAATTCTTTTTTTAGTAATAAAAAAGTTACCAATACAATAAACTTAATAAATGATATAAAATTCCCAAAGAAGTAAACTTAAATTAGATTCATATAGAGCCAGCAGTCATTTTCGTTTTAAAAACTATTTTATGTAGTTTAAAAACAACATAACAGTATACTGAACATTAAGTAAATAAGATAATTAAGGCTATTACAAACCAAAATTATAAAATATTTGTGCTAAGTAATACAAATGTAGAAATAAAAACTTTACTGAGCTCACAAACAATTCATATCATAAATATTTACAAATCATGTAATTAAAACATAAAAAGTAAATAAGTTTCTCACCAATCAATCATCACCATTGAAACTTTTTAAACTAATTAGCCAATTAGTCTTTTTCACAATTAATGACTGAATTTTTAATTTTACATGCAAACAATACAAAAAACATTACGCAGAATAATTTTTGGGATGTTGACATGTTTTTATATTTCAATAAAATGTAGAACTGCCTTCAAAAAATCTTTTAGGCATCAACCAAGAAGATTCACACAGTTATTAATTAAATCATACTCTTGTTGTGTTTTGATTATTTTAGATTATGTTTTTATGTTTTGATTATTATGATTATGTTTATTTTAGAGTAGAAAAACTTAAGAATTAAAATATTGTAGTTCTTTATACAAGTGCTTCAATTTTCTACTCTTATCAAAATAAAATATGGATAGAGCTCTAAGACCTTCTCGTTTGGATACATTACCGAACTCACCTTCAGCAACAAAATTATTTAAACATTGGCTCAGAACATTTGAATATTATCTTGATGAACTCCCTCAAGAACTCAATAAGTTAAAAATCCTGACTAATTTTGTTGTACCCGATGAAAAGGAAGGACTTTTAGATACTTATGCTTATCTAGATAATGTGACAATATGTGGTAAAACCCAAGAGGAGCATGATCTTAATCTGGAAAAATTTCTCAAGTCAGCTAAAAATATAAATCTTACTTATAATCATGATAAATGTAGCTTTTCCCAAGATAAAATTTGCATTCTTGGTTATCTTATAAAAGAAGGAAAACTCAAACCAGATCCCAGTCGTCTTCAACCTATGAAAGAAATGCCTCCTCCTCATGATGCTAAATCCATGAAGCGTATCATCGGACTATTCTCATACTACTCTAAATGGATTCCAAACTTTTCCGATAAAATAGCTTCTCTTACCAAAAACACCAAGTACCCATTAGATCATCAGTGTGTAAATGATTTCAATCAACTCAAACAAGACATTGCAAATGCTGTGACAGATTATGTGGACGAAAATGTTCCATTTGAAGTAGAAACAGACGCATCTGACATTGCTATAGCTGCAGTTCTTAATCAAAATGGCCGCCCTGTAGCTTTCTTTGTAATTTTCTTTGTGTAATTCTTTGTGTTTCCCTGTAGTTTTCAAGATTACTTCAAAAATCTGAACTCAAACATCCCTCTATTGAGAAAGAAGCTTGCGCAATAATAGAAGCAGTCAGACATTGGAAACACTACCTTACTGGACGCCATTTTAAACTTATTACTGATCAGCAACCTGTATCCTATATCTTCGAAAAGCAACATAAATCAAAGATTAAAAATGATAAAATTTATCGATGGAAAATTGAACTATCGTGCTATAATTATGACATTGTTTACAGGGAAGGGAAACTAAATATTCCAGCTGACACATTTTCTAGAATACATTGCTCAGCAATAAACACTAACAACTTAATTCAGCTTCATCAATCACTCTGTCATCCTGGAGTAACTAGGTTTTATGCTTTTATTAAAAACCGTAATTTACTTTTCTCAATTGATGATGTTAAACGAATAACTAATCAGTGCAAACTATGTTGTGAATGTAAGCCTAGATACTACAAACCACTAAAATCTAATTTGATAAAGGCGACACAACCACTGGAACGTTTGAACTTAGATTTTAAAGGACCTCTTCCTTCGGAAACTAATAACAAGTATTTTTTAACCATAATTGATGAGTATTCTCGTTTTCCTTTTGCAATCCCGTGCCCTGATATTTCAGCTCAGACTGTAATTAAGTGTTTGTCACAAGTATTCTCGATTTTTGGTTTGCCAAGTTACATCCATTCCGATAGAGGTTCAGCCTTCATCAGTAAAGAATTAAAACAATACTTACTAGAGAAAGGTATTGCGACAAGTCATACTACAGCATATAATCCACAAGGGAATGGACAAGCCGAAAAGTATAATGGAACTATAATGAAGTCTATTGAGATTGCTACTAGACAACACAATTTACCCATCAAAGCTTGGGAAAAAGTATTGCCAGACGTTCTCCATTCTATATGATCCTTAGTAAATACTAAAACAATGGAGACACCTCATGAAAGAATGTTTAAGCACCTTCGTAAAACAGCCTCTGGATGCACTTTACCTTCATGGTTAAGTCATCCTGGACCAATACTAATGAAAAGACATTTACGTAATAATAAGTATGAACCACTGGTAGACGAAGTGCAACTCATAGATGCTAATCCTCAATATGCTCACATAAAGTATCCAGATGGAAGAGAAACCATAGTTTCCCAAGACACTTAGCTCCAACAAGTTCTGCTCCGATCATTGATCAAACAAACGATATTGAACCTTCACCAGAGAATGCCTTTAATAATATTAAACCTTCACCAGAGAATGCTTTTAATAAACCTTCTTACCCCTATAAACCATTAACACCTGAGAAATATGGACTTACGAATACCAATCCTGAAAACTTTCCTAACCAGCCTCCCCTTTATCAACCTCCGCCAGCTGAAAATCTTGTCAATGATGCTTGTCCAATCAATCCATTGTTATTAATAACACCTGGAAAAGACACACGTAGATCCTCAAGAGCAATTCGTCGACCATTACGACTTATAGAAGAAGATACATGAAAAACCTTGTTTGTATTATAGAGTATTCTGTTTGTATTATGGCTGCAGAGAATGTTGTGTTTTGATTATTTTAGATTATGTTTTTATGTTTTGATTATTATGATTATGTTTATTTTAGAGTAGAAAAACTTAAGAATTAAAATATTGTAGTTCTTTATACAAGTGCTTCAACTCTTAAATTGTTCTAAAATAAAAAAAACCACATTACAAAATAAGAAAGTAGTTAAAAATAAAATAATGTTCTACTACCTTTTGTAAAATGAACTATAAATAATTTTGACAAAAATGTTGCTGAAATTCAACAGGTGGGAAAAAAAAGGACACTGTACAGCTTTCTGTTTACAGAACAAATCAAATCAAAACAACATCATAAAAAAATTGTAGCAAAATAAAATACCTAAAAGTTGAAACAACATATTCCAAGTGTAACAACATCGA